GACTGGTGGTATTATTACCCAAAATGGGCAAGGGTTCTGCTAACTGAAAAGCCTGTTAGTCGCAACGCGAACTATATATCAAGACATACTCAATTAAATGGCAAAATGCAGCAAATAAAGCAGAAAAGCCTGTTAACTCCCACCCAAACTGTATTTTATATATATATATATATACCTCTATATATATATATATATATAGACCCAATAAAAAACTGAACCCCTATGTAAAAGGCATCTGAAAACCCACTAAAACTTATTGGAGACGAGGCGGGACGTTGCCTGGACTGCTCATCCGCGAGGGGTTCCTGTCACTTTCGATTTAGGCTTCAAGTCTTCGGGTTTGGAGATCTAGCAGAATCTAGCACAAGCTTCAACATGTTCGGGTTTAGGATTTAGGTAGTGGGGTCTTGGATTTGGGACCATGGAATTCGGGCGCAGGGCTTTGGACTTGAAGCGCCTTTTTTCGGAGCTCAAGGGCTACTTAACAGCACTGCCGAAACACAGACTGACGCGGATACTCACGTATGGGGGGACTGTTCTACAGAAAGGCCCCCTTTCGGGCAAAAAGGAGATGACTAGTTTAAGTGCGCCTGCCAGGGTCCGGAAATTGGAACCAGGCCTGCTCTCTCGGTTTGGGGTTGTGTGTTTCAAGCGCATCGTCCCACACCCCGACCTCCTTAACCCATCGCCCTTTTGGCTTCAACCCTAGACTCTTTCACTCTCGAGTCTATCAAAACACAAGGGTGAATCCCTAAACCCTAAACCCTAAACCCTAAACCCTGAATCCTAAAGCAAAAGCCCTGAAGAAGGACGTACTGAAGGTACAGAGCTATTCTGCAGGATTTGCACCGAATTCAAAATCCCATCAAGAACTCCCACACTCAAGAGCCTCCTAGAAGCTTTATTGAGCTCTAAGACCCCATATCGAAATCAAGGGTTTTTTTTTTAAGTGTACTAGTCCCTTTCTCTCCGCAGAGACTCACCCCATAGGGAAATCAAGGTTTAGGGTTTAGGGTTTAGGGCCTAGGGTCTATTCCTTCATGAAGGGCCTCGTAGGTCAGGCGATCGGTTCGTGGATCAGTGAAGATGGCACACTCACCGCGAGCGGAGAGCCAGCTGCCTCCGCCACGATGAAGGGATAGATAGGGTTTAGGGTTTAGGGTTTAGGGTTTAGGGTTTAGGGTTTAGGGTTTAGGGTTTAGGGTTTAGGGTTAGGCCTCTATGTAAGGTGTCTACAGTGTCTACAGGGCTTTGGGGCTTAAGGGATCTATAATTATCAGGCTTGTATTATAGGGGTTCTGCAGGGCTCCAGGGTTGAGCGTGTAGAGGTTGCCGGCACTTGAAAGCGCTTGTGCAATCGGGGTTTGAGGAGGTTTGGGGCTGTAGGTTCAATGGTTGAGTTGCACAGTAATATAGGGGCCTTAATAAGTAGATTAGGGTTTTGGGGCCCATTATGCTGTAAATATACTAAGGAACCCCCAAAATAGTATAGGTAATTTTTTAGGCCCCTACATTATATCAGGAAGGTGCTCTTCATCGTGTAGGACTTCGAGTCCTTGGCTGCCCGAGGCACTTGTCATGCAGGAGTTCGTCCGCAACTATACCGTTTTTTGAGCTCAAGAAACTGAAAAAAAAAACCTTGGTGGGGTCTAGCTAGCGCGTGGAGTCGAGGGTCAGAGTTGTCAAAGGAAACTCGCTCCAAAATCCCGAAGATAGCCGACTTATCCCCAACAGCTAACCGTACGTCGAGGGGGCCGGTCACTGGAATCCAGGGCCCTCGGCCTCAAAGTATGCCTCGCAGCCAGGATCTAGGGTTTGGGGTTTAGGGTTTAGGGCAGTCTTTCGGGCCTATTCAGCCCCAAGGTTTCTCATGTAAACCCAACCCCAACGCCGAACCCAAACCCCAAACCCTGAAACCCAAGCCTGAACCACCCGAAAACCAAACCCTAAATCGCAAGCCCAAAACTCCGAAACCCGAAACTCAACCCAAAAATCCCAAGCCAAAAACCCAAACATCTCTATTCCCAAACCCCGGTGCCAACCCTCTCCGAAAAGACGGCCTTGCACGGCCTGCAAGGGAGGCAGGTCCCCGAGGTCGCCCGCTGCGCCGCCTGGGCGGGCTTCGGGCTGGGGGAGCGGGGGCCGAGTTGTGATTTCGGGCCTTAGGGGTCTAGGGCTTAGGGAGTATCCTAACAATCACCTACTTCAGTTCAATGGCTCAGGGCTCAGGGCTTAGGAGACGTGGGGCTTACGAAAGGCTCAGAACCCAAACGTCTCGACATGAAACCCAGGCCGGCCCCAAGCCCTACAGTCCCAACGCTCGGCCGCCGGAAGCAACAACTCCAGAAGTAGACCAGCCAAGGCTGCCGCTCTCGTCGATGGGCACATCGTCCAGATCCTCCGAAAATTGGAACTCAATATGGAGCGTCTTAAGCAAGTAGTGTTCCAAACCAAGGGTCTTTGTCGTCGTAAAGATCCTAGTATTGAGGCTTCGTTATCAGGCTCCCACATGTCCTCACAGCCACAAAGCGCACTTGAAGGCTCGTGGATAGGTGTGACCACAATTGCATGCACCTTCTTTGGGCTTAGGGCTTTCGTGGTTGGGGTTGTCTTGCTTATCCATACAACACCTGTTCTTCGAAGTAGTAACCTTGCATGGCTTCGGAAGGGGCCGGAAGTCCCTTCATGGAGGATCCAACCGAACAACGAACGCCCTACCACACTGCCAAATCCAGTAATTGGCACCTTCACCCGGACTTAATCCTGAACTCATTAACCCTAAACCCAAAAACATCATTAAACCCTAACACCCTGCAACTCGACGATATTGAAGTCTTTGAGGAGTAAGGGCTCGGTCCTCGTCGCCTTCGTCTGGCACTGGCACCTTGCCGTGTAGCCGCACGGGAGGTGGGCTTCTGCACTACGGCTCCTCATGGCTTAGATATCGAAAGGAGCTGGGGCCATCCATGGTGTAGAATGTGGGCTTCAGGGTCCATGCTGGATCTAAGTAGGGTTTAGGGTTTACCCTCTACGGTTCTAGGTGTAGCTAGGATGCCAAATCATGTGAGCACACAGCAGGCAGCATCTTCCTTGAGCCCCGAAACCCTAAATCCTAAACCCTAAACTC